CTTTGCACTTATTATACTATATATGTATTTTTTTCAGAATGAAAACGATTTCCATATTTCATTTCGTAGATTAAAATATATCACTTTATTCATATGCTCTATATGATATATAATTTAGCCATCTAGTATACCTTTCAACTGGGTCAAAATTGATGGCGCCATGAAAATAAAAACGTTTAAGCACATCTCAAATAATTGTTCGAGTGGCGCAAGTTGAGGGCACTTGAATAGCTGTACAGTAAAGCACATGTATAACGGCTGACAGCTACTATTAATAGTAGGAAAATGCCAATGTGTGTGTCTGCATCTGCAATTAAGCTATGAACAAAAAATGTAAATTATAATAAATAAACAACAATGGGCAACCGACGAACAAGCGCTAACTGCCTAACCCTCCCCTTCATTGACACGCCCCCCTTTGTAATTGTTACAATTATTTTGTTTACTTTGACAAGGGACTGCTAAACGCTCAAAGGCGGGCAGTGTGTGAGAGAGAAAGAAAGGGAGTGAGTGAGCTACTACTCTTCTACTCTACTCTACACAATTCTACTCTACTCTACTCAACTCAACTTAAGTCAACTCAACTCAACTCAACTTTGTGTGGATATTTTTTGCGCAATTTATTTTCATTGCTTTCTTGCAAGTCAAACTTTCAGTTGCTGTGTGTGTGTGAGTCACACTCATTGATGCGACTGCTTCTACTGTGTATTGTGCACGTGTATGTGTGTACACGGCATTGCTTTAGCCTGCTTGGAAAGAAGAAGAACAACAACAAGAACAGTGCGCAGTCTAGCGTATTGTTTGTGATTTTGCTTATTCTTGTTTCTCGTGTTGTCGCAGCGTCTAGGCTGCGGCGCTCTTCCTCTTTGCTATTTTGAGCGTTTGTTTTGTTCTGGCGTGCACTCGCGCTCTCCGCTCTACTCTCTCACTGGTTAACTACGCTCATTCATTGCGGCACTGCTGGCACGTTTGAGTGTGTGTGTGATTTTGATTACACACACACATAGTCGCCCGCTCGCATTTACACACATGTGCAAAACGGAGGCCGGCGCACGTGGTAGCTAAACGTGATATCACAACAACACAACTGACAGCAAAACAAATAGAAAACCTGACAACGACGACGACAAACGACGTCGCAGCAGCTGTTTGTCGCTTCGCTTGCGTTGCAGCCGCAGTCGCTGTCGACGCTGGCGCTGACAGCAACGCATCGTTTGGCAACTGTTGCCAGCGCCTGTTGCTCTGATTGGCGAGCGATTCACACGAAGCGGCTGCGCCAATAGCAGCGCACGCTGTGGGAATCCTTTACGCTTGACTGCGTGCTATTGGCAGACCCACGTCCCGCCACAAGCAGGAAATTCGGCAAACAACGAACACTTTCGACTTGTTGCTGTGCACTCAAAAATAGACGGATCACGGGGTGTATGCTTGATTTGCTTGCCAGATGCGTACTGCTTCGCTTCGATTGAGTGGGAGTGGGAAAGAGAGAGCGAGAGAGATAGGCTATTGACATGTGAACCAGTTAAGCTGCTTGACAAATGTTAAGCACAGCTCAGCGTGAACGACGAGAGCAAGGGTTCAGAATTTATTTAAAAATAGTTAATCTATTTCTGGCATAAACAAACATATATTTATATGTCTGTTTGCCATTTTATTTAATTGATAAGTAATCAATATTCTTTGTAGTTAAATTAAAATTATTTCATTTAATTTTTTTCCTATTTTGTAAGACATCTATTGAATCAGTTTTTTTTTTTTTCAATCAATCATATTTTGTAAATATTCCATTATTTCATTTCCATTTGCTCCTTTGTTAACAGTATAATTTGCCCTAAGTACTTTTCTCTATTTACATATTACATATTTGTTCTACTTATCATTCCCCATGCATATTTATATTATTATATATTTGCATTCCTCATTTACAGTTTCATAGTCTTTGCATTTCTTATTCTCTATTCCCTCAGCTGATTTTTAACAGTTTTATATATTTCTATTTTATTAGATCTTTTATGCAGTTTCTTTTTAACAGTTTGATTTTCTTATACATGCCTTATTTCACTTTCACTGTTCCACTTTTGGTGTTTCATTTTTAGCGTTCCTTATCATCGTTTTATTTAAGTAAGTAAAAAAATTTCTTCGCAAATATATCCGACAGTTATGCTGTTCCCTTGTTCCTCTTGTTCCATTGTCCCTTATTCCAGTGTTCCGTTTAAGCGGAAATATGCAATACCTAGCCTTAAATTTCATTTTCCAATATTTTTCCACTTTGTAGTACCTAAAACCCCCATTTAGGAACCACTCCTAAAAGCGTTACCTATTATAAATATTTAGATAATTATTCACTTTTAGACACTTGATAGACAATCGAAATTTCTCGAGTCAAGTGCCTGCACAAAGCCCTAATGAATTCTCCACAAAAGTTGATAAATTGGCATATTAACTGGAAATTTAATTATTCACGCTTAATTAATATAATTTCTAATTATAATGATGGAAATAATGGAAATGTTTCCCCTCGATTCACGCTGCAGCTGCGGCTTATAAAGGTTGTCACGGCAACAGCTAGCAAGCAGTTTCAGACAAATCTTTCCATTAAATTACGCATACGTCACGTGTTGCAAGCCAATTAATTTTTCTGCCCCACTCGAAGCTCGCCATCGTCATCGATACTTTAATCACTTTTGTGGCACAAACACAGAAAGAGAAAAAAGGCAATTAGAACAGGAAACGGAAGACTTGCAGCGGTCAGCTTTTGTCTATGAGCTGCTGTTGTTGTTGTTTCTTTTCGCTAACTGTAAGCAGGGGAGAGTGTACAGAGAGAAAGAGAGCGAGCGAGCGCATATATTTTTAGCTGCGTGTGTATGTATGTGTGTGCTTAGCTACTTTAACTATGCCAAATGCAACGAAACGTTCAACGTGCGCGCCAACGAGTGCCTGTGTGTGCATGTGCATGTGCCTGAGCCTGCATGCGTGTGTGTGTGTTTAACTGTCTCTCAGTCTCAGCTGCCGTGTGTATGTGTGTGTGTGTCCCGGTGTGTTCACAACACGTGCTTAGAACTTTGCTAGACGTTGGGCTTTGGGTCATACTGAAATCCGCGTGACTTTGTCGCCGCTGTCGTTGCTCGCTGCTGGCAGCGCAGTCAACGCCGCTGCCCGTGCTGTCGCTCACTGAATTTTCATTAGCTACAAAACTGCGCTGCGCTGCGCTGCCGTTGGCACTAATGTTTGTATTTATTTATATAGAAATTATTTATTATTATTTTTTACGAACTAGCTTTTTTGCGCTAGTTATCAGTTGATTTACAGATATGTGTATATATTTTTTATTAACTTTAGGAGGCCCTTCAGCATTTACGTAGATTGCAGTTAGGGTTTTGTTTTCAACTTACCTGCAGAAAATTGCAATTTACGCTGCGGCGCTTTTATGATTATATTTTGTTGTTTTTTTCTGCCTCTTGTAGGCGGTTTTGCGACAAACAGCGCTGCCAACGTGTGCAGCGACTGCACTGACAGCGCTGCTAGCGCGGGCAGCGACTGAGACAGAGACCGAGACCGAGACTGCGGCTCGGCTATGGCTATGGCTATGGCCCGGCATTCGTTCGCTTCGCGTTCTCATGTCCAAATCGTTCTCGTTGAACTGCGCGTCCGACTCTAACGTGAAAAACTGTGAAGAAAATTCAAAAGAAAAGCCAAATAAAAGTATTTCAAATAACTAAAAATAAATACTACCAAAAAAGTTAAATAATAAATCAAAATATATAATATAAATATTTATTTAAAAACAATAAAAATTAATAAAACACTCGGCAATTGCGCATTCAGTTGAGTCGAAAGAAAGGCTTTTCGGTGCAAAGTTCTAAAGGCAAACTGCAACGCAAATAGAAAACCAAATCAAACAAAATCTATTAGCTATATATCGTATACTATATATACATGTACATATATATATATTTATATTTATAATAAAAAGAATTGTTCCAGTGCTTTTAACAATTGTGAACAGTGTTTGTGCTCTCGCCTCAGATATTCGCATATATAAATAGTTATAGATTTTTCTATCTGTAGCATATGTACGCAGCAGCGTTAAAGTTACGGATCTTATTTCAAACCGTTTAATTTTTATTTTAATTGCAACAAAAAAACAAAAGAAACCCAACATACAAAAGTTTACATAACAGAAACAAATAAGAAAAGGTATTAGTAAAAAATGAAATAAATGTAAAATAAAATATATATAAAATATAAAAAATAAATAAAAATATTAAATTAATAAATATATATAAAATAAAAAATAAATGAAGTACAAAAAATAAATTAAATATATAAAATAAATATGAGATAACAAATATATAACAGATAAAACAAAAATAAATTAAAACTAAAAGTAAATAACATACTTATTTTAAATTGATTTGATTTATTAAAAAAAAAATATTAAAAAAATATTAAAATTATATGTATTAAAAAAATATAAAAACTTTAAAGTTAAATTTAAATTAACAGAAAAATATGGAAGTCTTTAGTTAAATAATAAAAATTTGCAAAAAAAAAAATTCAAACCTGAAGCTAATTTTTATTTTAAAATTAAATTTTAATTTAAAAAATATATTGCTCCTAAATTTAAACTTGCAATAAAAACAATATAGTTAATAAATTAAAATTTGCAAAAAAAAATTAAGCTAAACTAAATTCTTATTGAAATTCTGAATAAAAAACTAAATGTTTCAGGCAAACTTTATTGTTTAAAGACTTGTAACTAAATATATAAATATATTCATAAATATAAATATAAATATGTTCATAATATATATATATATATATATATATATATATATATATATATATATTTATAAATATATATATAGATATAGGAACAATGCCTTTTCTTATTTGTTGTCGCCGCAACCACCAATGAAAATAGCCTAAGACAGCTCATCAGACTGCCACAAACGCTGCTCATTATACATGATCACTATTCATGATCATCATTCATGATCATTAATCAAGATCATTATCATTAGCATTATCATTATTAGCCAAAAAAGCTATCGATTTCCATACTAATTATCGCCTTTGTCTACGAAAGCAACTATGTGCACTATATTTTAGTTAAGTGAAAAGAAAAACCAGTGTTGGTAAACAGTGAAAATTGAAAAATGCGCACAACTTCAGGCAGCTGGCCAAAGTTTTCATTGCTGTGCAGCAAATACAACCACGCCAATCACAAAGACGTCGCCACCTAAGCGACAACGCAAGCAACAGCAACTGCAACTGAAACGAAACCAGTGTTAAACAGAAAACAGTGTTGAACAATGTCGTCGGATACGAATTCGTGCGCGAGCTTCTTTGCTCAGGAGCATGCAAATGCGACGCTCTCGCAATACTTTCAGCAGCTCAACTCGCAGGTGGCTGCAGTTGTGGCCAGCAACAGCGGCAGCAGCAGCAATAAGGGCAACAACAACAACAGTAGCAGCAGCAGCAGCAGCAACAGCAGCAGCAACAACAACAACAGCAACACCAACAACAACGGCAGCAGCAGCAGCAGCGGCGGCAACAGCGACAGCGGCAACGACGGCAGCTTGTCCGGCTCAGCAGCAACAGCATTGGACAACCATCGCAGCAGCGTCAGCAGCAATGATTCCGGCAAAAGCAGCAGCAACAACAGCAACAGCTCCTCTGCAACAGCAGCAGCAGCAGCAGCTGCAGCGGCTGCGGCAGCCGCAGCGAATGCCTGGAACTTGCAGCAGCAGCAAACAGCAGTGCTGCATCACCATCATCAGCAACAGCAGCAGCAACAGCAGCAGCACCAACAGCAGCAGCAACAGCAACAGCAACAGCAGCTGCAGCAGCAGCAGCAGCATCATGCACAGCAGCAACATGCTGCTGCCGTGGCTGCAGCTCAACAGCAATTGCAGCAGCAGCAGCAACACTCACATCACGCTCAGCAGCAACATGCACATCAGCAACATCAGCAGCAGCAACAACAGCAGCAGCAGCAACAGCAGCAGCAGCAGCATCAATTGCAGCAGCATCCGCAGCAACATCATCCACATGCCCACAATCCGCACTTGCATCCGCATCATCCGCACCAGCAGCAACTACACCAGCAACATCAGCAGCAACAGCAACACCAGCAGCAACAGCAGCAACATCATGCTGCACAGCTGGCGCACACGCTCTCCTCGGCAGCAGCTGCTGCCGCCGCTGCGTCCAACACCAACACCCACTCGATCTTTGGCACCGGCAACTTCCACTACAAGACGAACAACTCGTGGACGCTGCCGACGCTCAGCTATCAGCGCATCTATCAGGAGAACTCGCACTATCATCAGCGCAGCAACAGCTTTATGGAAGCCCAAAGCTCGACCAATGAGGCAGCGGCGGCGGCAGCAGCAGCTGCAACGGCTGCTGCAGCGGCGGCGGCGGCTGCTGCTGCGGCGGCAACAGCGACAGGCAACGGCAACAACAACAGCAGCAACAACGCCACTGATAACCACAGCAGCAGCAACAACAACAACAGCAACAACAACTCCAGCAGCAACAACAACAGCGGCGGCAGCAGCAACAACAACAGCAACGTCTCATCTGTGCAGCATGTGGCAAGCGCCGTGGCAGCTGCAGTCATCGCCAGCGAGCACCAAAACCATTTGAACAGCTTGAAGGCGCGCTTTCAGCCATCCAGCTCAGGTGGGTCCCAAAGCCAAGCAGCCAATATTAGAATTTAAGCAAATTTGTTGTGAACAAATGCGAAATACAAAATACAAAATACAAAATACTAAATACTAAATATTTAATCAGCTGCAGCCAAGTGCGAGCAGACTTCAATAACATTTTAATATTGGGTTTTTCCATTACAAAGTCAATTAGATTATAATTTCAGTAAATATTGCTAACAGAAATGCTGAAGTGCAGCTCAGGTGTGTCTATTAACAGTTGTTATTAAGCTGATATATAGAATCTATGTGTTTATGGCGCTTAGCAGATGCTGTTCACTATGAACTGCAGCTCTAAATAGTTGCTGCGGGCATAAAGCAGCTTTACAGTTGCTTAACAGTTGCTTAACAGTTGCCATCCACTTTTAGCTGTAGCTTATTAACAGTTGCCTTCAGCTGTTAGACTCGCCTAACATTGAGCTACAACTGTTAGCAGTTTGCCTTGAAACTTTTAACAGTTGCTGTTAACATATGTTACGAGTATAACATAACAGAATAAGCACAGCTTGACTGACGTTGCCAGTCTCTGCTGAGTCTTTCGATTCATTTTGTTCATTTGATTTTATAGTTTTGCAAATTAAATAGAAAACAATATTTTTGTTGAATTAGAACTCAGTTCGAATTCATAAATCGTTTTGGCGCTAGTCATAAAAAAAATTGAAATTCCTTGTTCGATTGAACTTCAAACACAATAATAACAAGAACATAAATTCGCAGAAAAAATATTTTTATTATGTTATCAAATTGTTATTTGTTCTTAATATTTCTTTATTTTTTTTATTTTCTTAAATATTTTTTTTTTGGGAATATTAGTATCATGAGCTTGGAATTAAATTTTCTTACACAAATTAATAATTTCAGTTCTTAAAAATATATTTGAATATGTATATTTTTTTTATATTTGTTTTATTTTTTTATATATTTTTTTAAATATTTTGAAGCTTTTTTATACTTTTAAATATTTTTTTTAATTTTATTTGCATAGTTTCCAAAGTTTTTAGAACAATTGGTTAGCTTCTTCCACTTAATAACATTATGTTAGCTACGCTAACAGTTGCTTAACTTAAACTGTTATGCGCATCATGTAAACTTAACTCAGCTATATTTTTATAGACTTTACAACATTATCTCGTACTCTACAGAATTACACAAATGTTGTCATATATATATAAATACATATCTGTATATATGTAAATCTTGGCAGTTTTTTTTTTGCGACTTTTGAACAAGCGCTGCTTAGTCACAATTTATGACAAAATATTTATGATAAATGAATTATTATTTTTTGCATTTACATAAATTGTTAAGCCAAGCCTCAGTCTAATTATTCCAATCACCTGCTCTGCTTAGGGAAATCTAGCTATCTCTTTCTCGCTCACTCTCTCTCTCTCTTGCTCGCTCTGCTGTTATCTGTTTGCTGTTGAATCTTTGAATGTCAAAAAAGCTTGCGGCGCACACGTGAGCTGCTTGTATGTATCTGGCTCTCTCTCTCTTTCTCTCTGTCTCTCCCTCTCTTTGTCTCACTCCTTTGCTATCTGTCTCCGCTGCCTGCGTCATTCCCTGCCTATCACAATAAAAACTTAATTAATATGCGCACAAAACTTTGCTTTTGCGCTTCGTTTGCATTTTACAGCGCGTTTTTTACGCTGTTTCGTTGTTGTTGCTGCTGTTGTTGCTGTTGTTGTGATATTTGACTTATCATTTGATAAGTTACGACCTACGGCAAGTACTCGCCATACCCTGTAATATGTAATATGAAACGTTTTGCAGTGAGGCATATTAGGCGAAAATTAAAAAAAAAAAACAAATGAAACTGGAAAAAAAATATATATAAAAATTCTGGAATATTTATATGCTAATATATATTTATGTATATATATATACTCATATGTATTTTCGTAATCAGCACATGCTGTAGCCTAGTAGTAGCTGGTTACAGGCTAATCTTTCAGTCTAGAAAATATATTAACTATCTATGCAATATATTAACTATCTATGTTACATTCGTGATTCTGTAGTTCTATCTCTCACTTAGTTATTTGTTAAACTAATTAGATCAATGCATCTATAACTCAGAAAATGTTTTATATAAATAGAAATCTGCCTCACTTTCTCTACCTCTCTCTATCAGTACTATATATATGTAAGCAGTAAGCTCTGTTTACCCTCTCTCTTCCTCCCCCCTCTCTCTCTCTTTTCTTTTCTCTTTTTCTCTTTCTCTTTGTCTTGTGCTCTCCTATATCTTCCTCCTATATCTCACTCTCTCTCTCTCTCTCTCTCTCTCTCTCTGTCTTTATATCTGTCTCTACAAGTCTGTCTACCTATCCATCATTCTCTATCTCCCTTTCAATCTGTTCAAACAAGTTTCTGCATGCATATACAGGGTATTTTCTGGTGGAGGCGATCTTCATTACTGTGCAATCTCTGTCTGTATCTGCCTATCTCTCTCTCTCTTTTCCTGCTATCTTTCTAATAGGCCTGCTCTATCTCCCCTATCTGGCTGAGCCCTTATTTCTCTCGCGCTATCTCCCTCTCTCTCTCCCCCTCTGTCACACTCCTTTCACACACGTCTCGCATGCAAATTATCATTTCACACTTGCCGCTTGTGCTGGAAAATTGTTTGACAAGTTGTGAAATTTACGATTTACAATAAATCAAGTGGAAATTAACGCAGGTATTCGCAATGGCGGACTTCGAGTCTAATGTTAGCCGCCAAATGGGGTCAAATGATGAGCTGCCACTGCAGCGCATCAGCTGATTAGCCACAGCAACGAGAGGTGCAGAGGCAGGGGCAGGGGCTGAGGCAGCTGCAATTCAATTGACAAATGGCATCAAATGTTTTCCATCATTCAAACACACATCGCGCGCTTTTCTTTGAGCAAAAAGCGCGGCTCCATTTTCCATTTCCATTCTGCAGCGAGGTCAACCTTTGAGCCTTTTTTCTCTGCTCTTTTTGGCCAAAATCCATTCGCTTTGATTAGATTCTGAACTAAAAACGAAAATGGAAAATGGCCTCCAATGCGCTTTTCCTATGCAAAAGCTGATTAAATGGAAATAAATTATGGAAAATTATGATTATGAAATGTTTATTGAATATCTTTGCTATGCCAAAGGCAGCGAAACGTTTCACAAATACCCTGGAAAGTACCTAGGGAAATATTTCAATACTTCTGTTTTTTGTTAACAATAAAAATTCGAAACTTTTTCAAACAGAAGGAAAATGTTTCGAAATTTTGGTGGTATTCGAAGACTTTCAAACTGCTGTCTGAAATATTTTCAAAATCGTATTTAAAAATTTCAGTAATTTTCGAAACTCGCTTCTCTAAAATTTCCAAAATTTCAGTTTAAAAAATTTTTAATATAAATTCTTATGTTATATATAAATTCTTAATGTTGATTTAAAAAATTTTTAAATTTAAAAACAAATTAAAAAATTTGGAAAATATTAAAATTTTGATAATTATTAGATTCAGATTTCTGAAAAATAATAGCCAACTATATAGATTAAATAGTATAAGTAATAATTTTAGTATTAGAATGCTTATAATTAGTATAAATATAAGTATTATTAAATATCTATATAAGTCTATCTAAAGATGAGATTAGAATTTCTTGGAACTATTTCGTTGAAGCTGCTGAGAAAACGTCTCTTGCTCAAATAGAGATCTATAGTATATATATATTTGTTTTGACTAGAGTGCATTCTATATACTATATATATATAATATAGACACAGATATGCGTCACACTTTTAACGCTCTTTCTCTCTCCTCTTTCCCCCTCTCTCTCCTCGGGCAAGTCAATAGCCATAATTTAGTTGCATTTCCCATAAAAATCATGAAATTTTTTACATTCGAGCTGCCCACGCCACAAGCAGCGCTTGCACCCTCGTGGCTCACCCTCTAAGCAGCATTTTAGTGTCGCATTTGCCTTCTTTGACTACCCGTCGCTTCCGAACGTCCCTCGAACTGTCTCTCATTGCTCGAATACGATATAAAACGTAAGCAGAAGAGGAACTCGGTAAGCAGCGCTGCCAGCGCCAAACAATACGAGACGATATTAAAATACGATCTGTTATGATACGGTTTTTGGTTTCGGATTCGATTTCGATTTCGGTTTCGATTTCGATTTCAGTTTTTCAGTTTGCTTCCCATTACTCGGATGCCATTTTCGAAGGAGCATTACAGTTTGTGAGTTACTATGAACAAGAACTTGTGTAGCGATGCTTTAGAGTTACAGTTTAAGCATTACAGCTTAGATTTACAGTTCTAAATTCGCACAATTTTGAAGCTTCTCAACTAAAAACAGCTTGACAGTCACTGACATCATATTCAGAGCAGTCCCTAAAAATAGCCTCGCAGTTTGAGATTCACAAGCGACAAGACTACATTTAAAGAGTCACTTCTTGGCACAGTTTGAGAGCAACTTATGACATATGCATCCAGTCGGAACAACTCATTCAGCTTTTCTGTATTTCAGCGAAAATTACAAACAAAAACGACCTTTTAAAGACAGACAGTTGTTGTTGTTGTTGTTGTAGTTACTGCTGCTGTGTGGGCAGAGGCAGCGCTGCTGAACTGCAGCTGAGACGAATTCGAATGCGACTGCGAAATGGGAAATGCGCCATGGGTGGTGGGGGGAGGGGGCTACCCACTGTCAATGCCAATGTCAGAAAATGGGGAAATGGGCTGCGGGTGCTGTAAATGGCTATGGGAGCGACTGCCGCCGTGGGTGGCCTTTGAGTGGGTGCCTGAATGTGTGTAAAATTACCCCTATGTACAGTTGCCCAACATTTTGTTATTGTCAACTTTTCATATTTATTAATTTGAAACAATTTTTTATTGCTCTCATTGCAGGTAAGCATCAAATTGTGGCATGGCTTTGTGTTGAATGTAGCGATTGGGTCCCAAACGTGACTGAGGACTGCATTTAGCTTAAGCTCGTTCGCCGTTTACTGCATTTTGTAGAGTTGAG